ATATACTTTTAAAATATTTAAAAATTTTCAAGTATAAATTGAATGAAATATATTTAAAGAATTTAAAATGTTCTAACAAAATATAGAGAAAACAATTAACAAAAATATCATTAACATAAGCGTAAAAGCAAAAATCCGATAAAAATGAAATCTAAAAAAATTATTACAACTAAACAAAGACTAAATCTGAAAAATTTGCTGTACTTATTAAAAATTTGTTGTATTATAACATAGTTTTTATTAAGACTTATTATTTTATTAATGAGAATAAAGAGTTACTGGTCACAAAATTAATCACAAAAATTCCCATTTAGCTTAAAAATGTTTGAAAAATAACAAGGACAGAGGAATAGAAATTATTATAGAGAAAATAAAAATCTGAAATTTTTTTTTAAAAAAATAACTGACAAATAATCAAAGTAAACTACGAAGTTTGAAAATTAAAATGTTCGAAAAAAGCATTTCAATAATACATGACTAAATATAGAAAGTAAATAATGTCAGACAAAAATCGTAATTACTGAGCCAGGTATACCTGCAAAAAATGCATTAAACTATGTCTGACGCACGAAAAAAAAGGAATAAGTTAAAAGATTACTGGTCATCACTGAACAACCTTAGAATCGTCAGCCCTGTGTATAACAAAAATATTCAAATCGCTAACATAAGAAGGCTCTAACTGCTCTGACTAAATTGTCAAACTGTTTTTTTTCTTCCAGATTACGGCTATCCCATTATTTTGAGGGTCAAGAATCTACATACATTGAATGAAAAAGTTTATACAAAGCAAGTACGTTTTCGTGGGGGAAATTTTATGACCCTTAAAATCGTCTAACACTAATTATTTTGCATATTTAAAGTCAGGCTCCCGAACTATCCGAATTGAGTCCTATGAAAATGCGATTGTTTGATCTAAGAGTGCTCGCTTTGTTTATTTATTTATTTACGCTCAATACATTGTTTGATTTTGCTACAAAATAGAAAACTTTAGCCTCTTGCTAGTTCACGTACATAAATAATTATTACCTGCACTGCACAGAATCAAAAATTAAAAGTGCGTGAGCATGCGAGATATTACAAGAAAGTGCTAAACCTCACCACTCAAGTAACGAAATAACTTTTAAATTTGAACAAAATAATAATTTGTGTTTGCATGGTTTAGCCGTTTCTGTACATGTTCCGTAAATTTTCACATTTAACTGACCAATTAGAATATGAAAAGGCAATAGCTTTCTTTTATCTTTGTTTTTATCGCTTTTCTAGTAAAAATAAAGTGATGCAAAAAAAACTAAATATAATTTACTACTAAGTGGATATTCAATTATTTTAATAATTCTTTATAAAATTGACTTATTTATAAAATTAAACTTTTTTTTAAGATTTGGGTGTCAATGTCGATGATGAATATGTGTTTGCTTCTTCTAAATGCTACAATTATAATTTTAGTTGAGATTCCTCAAAATTGTCAGGAAATCGCATGAACAATTGGAACTTAAGCGAAGATTTTCGTTTTAAGAGATCCTGAAAATTGATTAGTAGAAGAGAAATTGACATTGAATGTATTAACTATAAAATCGGTGATGGCACCCGATTTCTACTTTGCCCAAGGACTTCTTTTTTCTCTTTGAGACGAAATCTTAAAATAAATTATCCCATTTTTTTCTTTGGTGCATACTTCTATATTCATTTTCGCATATTTTTAGCTTTCTGAAATTATTTTATAAGAAATAACTTTTTTTTTGTACATAAATTTCAAAATTCTAAAAACATTTCTGAAGTTAGTTTTTAATTGAACTATAGGTTATAGTTTTATTATGTTACGCAAACTAAACAAAAAACAAATCAGTTATGGAACTTTTAAAATTGGATAAAATGAATTTGAAAACTGATGATAAAAACGACATGCGATGTGCGTTATTTCTGTTAACTGATGAAACAACAATCTTATAACAACAACAATCTTAACGCCAAAGTTTCATTGATATTGTCTATCAAAGAAAATTGTTTTAAACGAAGCTATTAAAGCTACAGGCCATCAAATAAAACCAAAATATTTTGATTCAGATTATTATTATTATCCGGTATACAGAAAGACAGGTATGATGGAATTAACAGGTCAGACACTGAAAATTGTATTTCGAAGGTTTTATAAAATCAAAAAATGGATTTAATATAAAATGTAAACTTTGAAGAAAGTATAGCTCTGTCTATATATAATATGGTTACCATATGACGTATTAGATTAAATGATATTGTAAAATTAAAAAAAGAATAATAACAGTTGGAGCTAATTTAATTAACTAAGTTATTACTTTATTATTATTTTTAAACTTAATTTTTCAGACAATTTTAGTAAATATCTGTATTGTTGTATAAATTAAGTTTATAAAACTGGCTCATATATCACTTATGGGCAATGGAAGCTCATAACTTAAAATTAAATAAATAAAGTAATCATAAAAAGTCTTAAATAAAGTATCCCTAGTCAACAAGCTAATTATAATGCAAGTCATGAAGTGTCAATTTCATAAAACTTCTTGAATCTGTTTAATATATAGTTATAAAAAATGAAATTACTTATTGATTTCAAATTAAAAATTTTCAACACGTTTTATAGAAATTGGATGGAATTTTACGGTTTTATGTATCACATATGCTCTCCTTT